TTTGGCGATCCATGAACAACACATAGCCGGAATATACGAAATGTATGACTTTGGTACTCGGGCACAACAACGGGAACCCGTTCATCTATACGGGTACGTCTTTGTCCGTCCCATCTGGGACCCTTTTGTTCGCAAACGTTGTCTGCGGAAAAGCGGAAAATTCACCATCGCCATATCGAGACGGACGTATAATGCAACTCCGAAACCCCGGAAAAAGTGGCGCTTAATTTGACACGTGAAAGGTTTAAGGGAATGAAGAGGAACTCGGGATGGTAATGGAATTATGGATTTTCTTTTCCTCATTTCAAACTTTTTCAAGTCCTCTATCAATTTGTAGAGTAACTGGAATGATTGGATACATTTTAAAATGGGTACCTTTTTAAATTTATTTTGTCTTTTTCTTCAATTTCAAAACAAATCACGAATCAATAAAACCTAATTTAGATCCAATACAACCTAGTCGGAACTAGTTAATACAATATCGGTGTTTCCTAGAACATTGAATTGGACCCGATAATTTATAATTCAACATTGTCTAGAATTCGTTCGTTTGGTTGGTAGAGTGTACAATGAAGGCCCTGCTTTGGTATTCCGACAGCAAAATAACCTCCGTTTCCAGAAAGTAATCCTCCGGTTCCTTTATTTACGCCTACGTCCTCCTCTGTTATCCGGGCTATACATTGACCTGAATTATTGAACGTGTTTTCAAATTAACTTTGCCCTCTTGACTTTATACCTACGGCATTCTCCGTTCTGCACCGTGCTGCGGTTAGATAATACCCCAGTTTATGTATAACGGTAGTGCACCGATATATAAATACGGTGATCAACAAAGTTTTTAGTAACTAATGGAAATTAGTTTGATCAAATGTTATGTATTATTTATCATACGTCGTATTATAAAGCATTTGTCCAAATTATTAAATATAAGTCCAAATATATTGATGTTGATGTTATACAACTATTGATCTAACCAAAATAATCTGGTTGTTTTGTAATTAACGATTTAACATTAACACGTAATGTAATAAATTTAACAAATTCCTGTCTCATTGTAAAATTATAGAAAGCCAATAAAACGATCATTTCAAACGAGCCTTTGTTCATTTCATTTCATTTCATTCGCCAGTCGTATGGTTAAATATTCATAATGGCATAAAATAGTATTCATGTAAATTGTAGCCCCGTAGCGTATTGTTTTATGTGCATTTACGCGCAATTGCATAATTAGGTTATTTTATATTATATTTAGTTACTAAAATAAAAATGATATCGTATTAATTATAAGTAATTATTAAATCGAAATTGAAAATTACAAACAGTTATACATTTAGTTACATAACGTTAAGATATTTTAAATATATTCAGGTGCTTTCCCCCAATGAGTTATAAACATGCAGAACTTGATTGTGTAAAACATAAAAGAGATAATGAATGTGTATAAATGACAATCGTACTTTAACACACAGCATGATAAAATGGAATCAAAACACAAATATAAAAGAGATAGTTGTATATGAACTTTAACATTGATTGCAATTAATGCAATCAAAGCCCGATTGCGTCAATTCATCCCATTAGAAAAAAAATAGGGCAAGAGAAAACAAACAGTAAGTTGACATTTGCAGAAAGTTTAACAGACGTCTTTACACTGAATCTAACCCAAGATAATAAACTTAAAGGTATAGATAATTTAAATGCATGAAACATTACTGCAATTAGCCCGAAATCTAAATCCTAAAAAGCACCGAGATTCGACCTCTTCGCAGGAAAAATGCTTAGGCTTCTAAAAAAGGTATAGTTATGTTAATTTATATATTCAACGCAGGTATTAGATCAAAAAACATTCATTCTCGTAAACTGGAAGGTTACAGAAATTATGATGCTATATAAGCCAGGTAAACCGTATGACGCCAAAACATATAGACCAATATCACTCCAGCCAATACTTTCCAAACTATTTGAAAAGTGTTGCTAAAACGATCATTCAACAAAATTAATAGCTGACTCGATACTATATAGATACGATCGACTAGAATCGATCAAGTACATCGTATTACAGATGTCATAGCGGTAAAAATAACTTGAAAGATAACAAGTTTTCTCTGTACTGTTCCTAAACGTAGCACCAGCCTTGCTAAAGTCTGACAAAAAGGCCTGATTTATAAGTTGAACAAAATCTTGCCAAAAATTATGTAGGTTGTAACATCGTACATAACCAACAAACAAAGAGATACCTCTACCGTATGTCCTGTATACCAGCGATTTACCAGACCTACACCATATAACACTTACTACGTTCACAGACGATATAGGTTAAGCATTTTAGGGAGCCAGCGATAGTATATGGGTGTGGATCAAAAGATAGAACATAAAATGGAAAGAATCAAAATCAACGGATATAAATTTCACAAACAAAAATCTACCTAACCCTTCACCTTTGATCATTACGGAACAATAGTTCTGTTCCGTACGAAAACAATTCAAAATACTTAGGACACTTTATGCCAAGTTGAGGTACAAGATTTATAGTCAAAAGAAAAGCATAATGTAAATGGCTAACAGGAAGACATTCTGACCTATTATTGTATAATAAAACTGGTACACAATCAGATCATAGAACCTATATAGTTATATAGTTTCCAAGTATTCCATTTATTTCTAAATAAAACAGGCAGTCTAAAATAAACTTCTACGTACTATGGCAAAAGCCACATGTAAGGTGTAATGATATACATAGGTTCTTAAACATCCCAACAGTCAAGGAATGAATCAAAAGGTACCCCAAGAAGTACGAAGAACACTTAGATGAGAATCAAGAATTTTAGTAGTTAATTTTTTTGAATTAACTACTGGATAATTACTGCTGATTATATCATTTATATAGGTAATTCTACATAAGCATGTTTCCCTAAATGGGTATTATGAATATTTTGTTAATTGTGATATTAACTTGATTAAGATAAGCTGTTCAAATATTTTAGTTTTGATTTCCTATTCGTTTTTAGTAAAATATTTGAAAGACTAAGTATGGATGATGAGGAGTTGAAAATGTTATACAAACGCTCTTACATTAAATTCGCAAAATCAGATTCCGTTTTACTAATATCTTGAGCACTAAGACAAAAAAGAACAACAATATAATAAATCTCAATATTTTCAAATTCGGATAAAGGATACGCATTTCATTAGATGGAATGAACCTTGTTGAATCCGCACAAAGTCGCCACTCATTGTACGTCTTGTTAACCAATTTTTCCTATTTACATCTCATAGCTAAGATGTCAGACTAATGTTACTATTTATTCCATTCATACTGCAAGCAAATTTATCCTACTTTTCTGTTGGGGAGTACTTCTAAATATTTTACCGAGTCCTCTCAACATCTTCATTATCTATTAAATATCACCCTTGATATTTCTCAAGATCATTACAAGCATAATTTTTCTTTAATTATCAACAATACCGTTAATATATCTCATTTCTAACATCACTTAATACGGTCTCCATCAATATTTTCGATCAATAGATCATCCATGATATCTTTCAACATCATTACTGGAATTCATCAACACTGTCAATAATATCGTCCTTAATTTATCCTAGATACCTATACGGTTTAACATTCTCTGACATAAAATAGTCATCTGGGAATGTTATAAAACATTTTGAGGTTTTTGAGAATCCTAAAACTTTTCTTTAATCTAAAAATACATGACATAAAGTTAAAACTGTTAACATTATTTTTTAAATTTTCTTAATAAATTCCAATCAATACAATAATAATAAAATAAAACAAATATCACACGTAAAACGACTCGTATGTACGACGACATAAATAAAAAATGTTCAAAAAAAATATTTTTAATGTATACTGGTATCACAAAGCGGAAATATTGAATAAAGTTAAAAATATTGCTCAAATTAAATGAATTCCACAAAATATGTGAAAACGCCGAAATGTGAAATACAAATTGTACGGACCTATTTTACAAACGATATTTTAAAATGATACAATTCGCTAGCCATTATTGTTATGTTGCGTATACTGAAACGGACGTAAAGTTTGACCTCTCTATGTATGTTTAAATTAACCTCTGGCACATAATTGTCAATCAATTAGGTCCCAAATGGAATTTCGCCGTAAAAAGGTATTCGAATGCGGACCCTGATTTCCAGTTAACTACAAATTAATTTCGGCAATTGTTGTAATATACCTACAATGTCGTTTTAATTATCTGTTAAAATTCCATGGTAAATATATACTATTTGCGGTCAATTAAACGAATCCATGTTTTACGATTCGTACGTCGAGCAGAAATCACGAAAGTAGGTTACATTTGTTCGTATCAAAACGATTGGGTTTTCAATTCCTCTTGATTACACCAAATTACATCAATCCCGTTCAATTGAGACAAATCCTAAAGGAGGAACGCTAGAATAAGTGACAGAAAATCGATTCAACTTGGAGAAATATGTGCTACGCTTTTAACACAGTTAAAGTTTCAGTAATTTTACGTTTTTTTAAAAGGAAGCTACAATTTCAAGTTGATTAATTGTCTCTGACAGCAAAGCGAACTCTACAAGCTTTTTCCATTACTCTACATTGTTATTAGGTGTATTAAATTTTTAATAAACCTATTTTAAGTAACAAATCGAATACAATCTCATTATTTAATACACCACATTTAACTTCTTACTTTTATCCATAAATAATTGATTAAAAATTCGTTATTATATCATCGAGTTGTGTGAACCAAACGATGTGTCATCACGAAGGCATGTTGTTTGCCGCTTAAGGATGTTTATGCAGACCGTCAGTAACAAAGGGGGCATATTAATATTTACTTTCTAGGGCAGGGGGAGAAATGGTGGTAGGTACTCTGAAACGTGACTTTACTGCTGAGCCGTTAAACTTAACATGTGCTTGCTTGCATCGTCGGCATTAAGCCATTAGTCGTTGTCAGTCAGGAGTATAAACTTGTTAATTCTCTTTGCAGGTAACACGAGTGACGAAAATGTGACAGCAGCGGTGTTGGAGGTATAAAACGAAACTTTCTAAAAGAAATGGACGGATAAAATAGTTTAATTTAGGGAGAATGGGTGATCAACAACATTCTCTGAAAATTGTTCTTGTACTCGTCACGTTTTGGTTCTTTATGGTTTTACCGTTACCGTCCAATGATACAGGTAAGTTAATTATTGATTTTATCTAATTCCTAATGACCGTTAAAGTTAACATAGCATTTATGTCTTTTGAATGTATTTTTTAATCAATTTATAAAAATCCTAATATAGATAAGAACAGACCACTTACTGAAAAGCAACGTAAAGTCGCAAAGTAGCGATTATGTCCACTCTGAGAATTCAAGTACGGGTTGTGACGATGAGTTGTCTTCGAAATTACTTCAAATGCGACTGATAATTTGTTATTAGAAAATCCCAAAAACCCTGAAATATTTATCTAAGAAAATATTGAGTAGTAAGTGAAGAAGTTACGAGATAACTCGTAGCGTAATATTAAATAAATTATTATTAAAATTGCTATTAATCATCATTAAAATAGTGTGATACTGTGTCATTTCCCTGTTTTCTATCAGTACATGAACGATACGCTCGAGCTGTTCCTCCGGATGAGGTCGGCAATGTTCCTTAAGCGTTACATGGTTATATCAGGACGTTATATGAACTACCTAAGAATGATTTTCCTTTAATGTTTGTTAAACCGTTTGATGTTAAATGCTTCCCGTGCAATCGAATTCCAAAACAATGCTCAGGGAGCAGCACAGGTAAAAATTATAAACTGACTTAACTGCCAAGCGGGCCAAATCATTCCCGATCAGCTCATCATATTCGATCAGAACATGCCAATTCAACCCTAAAGCAATCCATCTCAGTCAACTCTTCGTTACTGAAAGTTGTCACGTGGCTGGGTTGTGTTCAAAGCAATCTAATCCAACCACAAACTAAGCTTAGTCAGCTTCAAACCAGCCCAACCCAACTTCAAAGTATGTAAACTTAAATTTAAAGCATGCAACCAAACCCCAAAGTGATTGCATCCAATCATCACCTTATTGTAATTCAAATTGATGTGTGGTTGGGTTGGACCAAATAGACTGGAATTAATTAAACTGTTTACAAGAAGGCTTGCTTAAGTAAAATCTTACTTAAATCTCAGAATTCGTTATTCTTAGTTTAGCGAAGACCGTTTGCAGCTGAGGCGCTACAATATCTGTCAATCAGTTTTGTCATACATTTCTCCTTTTAAAATTAGCTGAGATCGCTTGTGGAAGAGGCGGTACAATCGCCCGGCTAAAGAAGAAAAATCATGCATTCTCCACCATAAGTTTAGCCAATATCGCTTGTGGTCGAGACAGTGCAATATAGTTTCCAATTTTGAGTAAATATGGTGCAGAGCCTCGGCCGCAAACGACCTCGGCTAGCTTGCGCAAAATCTTATATTCTTGATACTGAGTTTAACAGAAGTTGCTAGCTACAACTGCAAACAAACAACTACTACTGCAAATCGTTACAAAAGGCATTAATTCCCTTTTTTTGTGTGTAACCTTAGGATTAAACGAGATCACTTCCACCTGAGGGTACAGTACTTCTTAAACAGTTTGAGCTTAATATGATATTAATTTCATTTTAATTTAACAACAAATCAACCGAAACCAATCTCAAACCAATCCTAATTATAAAACAATTTATCCATCCCCAAAATCAAACCAAAGCTAGCAATCCCACTACCATAAACAAAGGAATTTAACCATAAATTAATAGACTCGCAAGCTAGCTAATCAAATCCAAAGCAAATAAACTACAAAGTAACTCAACTGCAATGCAAGACAATTGAACCCAATATCATAAAGTTAATTACAAAGTAAGTCAATTTAACTCCAAAGAATTTCAACTCAACTTATCGTAACTCAAAATGTTGATCCGTGGTGGAATTAGTACTAAACCAACCCAAATGAACACAGCTACAAACTAACCCAAGTTTGCCCAAATCCAATGTATCGCAACACAACTCCAATATGACTGAATCTAACCCTAAAGTACTTCGAAGATAAAGCAGAGCAACTCAACTCCAATCAATCTACCACAGCTCCAAAAAAATATGACCATAAAGTAGTAGAAGTTCTAAGCTAACTAATCACATCTATAGTAAATGAAGTACAAAGTAACTAAACAACCCCAATACAACTCAAACGCAAAGTAACTCTACTTCACACCATGCAGATCTAACTCCCTAACTCATTTCATCGTAAAGTTGATACGGGGTCGGATTAGGTGCATAACAATCAAACTAAATACAATGACGAACCAAGCCAAATCACGCTCAAACCAACCAAACATAATTCTAAAGCAATACAATTCAATACCATATTCAACAACATCCAACATTACGTATCAATTTTGAATTGGAAACAAGTGAGTTGCATTGCTTATGTTGGGTTGGGTCCAAAGGAATCCAAGCCAACCATGAACCAAGCAAGGCCAACTTCAAACCAACCCGACCTAACTACAAAGCAAACTTATCCAACTCCAAAAACCAATTCAAAACAAAGTAATCTAACTCCAAATCAAGCTAATCCATCCCCAAGGCAAGATAATCATTAAATAATCAAGCCCCAAGACAACTGAAGTTGAAAATAACTTAAACAAGCGTGCCACAAGAATCCCAAAGTTCAAACTACATAATAACTTAATCCTAAAAACCTAAGAAAATTATTTAATTCCAAACGTTTCTAATGCAACTCAGTTTATATCCAGCTGCCCACTGTAATTCTCAAGATCCAATTGATTTCATGTATATAAGTAGGAAGGCTTTCACGGCATGTGGTAATTAAACTAAAACTAGAACTAACACTAATACTATCACTAGAACTAACACTAGACCTAGAACTCTAGTATTAATTCTAGTGATAGCGCTATGTTAGTTTAGTTCTAGATTTAATTTAATATATTTCATGTATGCAATTTTTTTAAATTTAATTTACCAAAATGTATTATAACAGTATATAAATTTATTATTTACAAATAATATTTTATTTCATTGAATTTTTTATCGTATCTATTTCGAAATGAAATAAAAACAGAAATTGAATTAATTAGGGTCGTTCGCCAATTTAAGTAATTATCGTCCTTTTTTTTGTCGGGACGAGCAACGACGCAAAAATTAAATTAATTTAGGATCGAGTGTCGACTTCAGTACGGACATTTGCATATCCAATTATACCGTATTAAAATATTTACATAAATTCCAACTCCCTGTGGTTGTCGGTACCGGACCCATTCTTCAATTTCCTGCTGTGTACCGGACCGTATGTTTGCGGGCTGCAGTCGCCCGCACAGGATGTAGCGTGTTTCACGCGAACCACAACCTGCGACTAGTACCGAAAATCCTTTTAAATCTTAACTATACCGACAGAATAAAAATCTTTTTAAAAGAAAATTAAATAAATATTAATTCTTAAATAATCTTGAAATGAATGTGAAGTAAAAGGAAACCTAAAAGGAAACAAGTTAAATTGTATCTTAGTAACCCAGAAGAGAAGTCTTTTATTTTCATTGCACTATTCAAGGATCTAGTTGGGACAAGTATAATCTATTAATTTACTTTAGAGATCGCATTCGTCCAAGAAAGTTGGATGGACTAATGTACTGTGACGCTGTACATGTTGGGGTCAGGACGATTGCATTTTCTCCAAGTTGAAAAGACGAAAAACGCAGACGAAATACACGCGGGGTTGGGTTACGTTAACCGGGGGCATTTTCCGATGGCATAGTGTTTTATTGCCGCGTTACTTTTCCAGTTGCCCACTGCTGCCATCCAATTTCACGGCAGAGCACCGTCTAGCTTGATATACAGTGCTTAAACTTAATATAAAGTTATACGGGCCGTCGGCTAACTACTTTTTCGAAGTTTATTTTTCTTGAGGCATTCCATCCCGGTAACCTTAATCACTCATTATTATGACATGACGGGCAGGAAATAAAGGGGAGCGGAAAACAAATTACGAAAGTGAAACGGATTAACTGTGATGAAAGTAAACATTTTCCTTTGTTACGTAACGTAATTTTCAAGTAAACGGCGAATTTCTACAACTCCAACGGTTTAAGCAGAATTGCATGGAAAAACAGTTTTAATCGTTTTTCACATTTTTTCTTAGTTTACGCTATGCAAGACAAAAGCCTTTTTAGCCTTTTTTGTTTTTTAGTACAATTAGTAATTCCTTTACCATTAGAATATGCTAATAACTTTGTTTAACATGGTGGAATTTCATCGTGTCGGGATTTGCTTAATCCGGTGTTTACGGGAAAGATTAACCTGGATTGTCCTTTACTTGCTTATTTACTTCGAATATTTACGAAATCTAAAAAGAAACATTCGAACATAAAGTAATAAAAATTTATTACACAATTTAGTAAAATAAATCATGAAGATATACTTTAATACATTATCTCAATGAAGAGATTTGTATTAAAATTTCTTTAAAATTTACGTCAATCCATCTAATTCCAAAGCAACTTAACTCTAAAGTATCCTAACTCCAAAGTATGCCAACCAACCCCAAAGCAATCCATCTCAAATCTTCATTACTCAAAGTTACTGATCTCAAATTACATACGATATCAACCCCAAAATGACGAAATCCATGCCAATTACAAATCAACTCAAGGCAACTACAAAACATGCCAACACAAATCCAAAGCATGCCAATCAAACCCAAGGAGATCGAATTCGACCCTACTGCAACTAAACCACAAAGCAATACAACTCCAAATCAAGTTAATCCAACCCCAAGGGAACATAATCATTAAATAATCCAAGTCGCTAATCTACCCACAAAGCAATTGAACCCAACCATGTACTAAGTGAAACAAGCTCCGAAGTAACTAACCTACTCAACTCAACTCTTCGTAACTCAACGCTGACACAGTTGGGTTGGGTCAAGAAGTTTCAGGACGTTATATTAATTTCAGTAGAGACCACTTCAGATACAACGCCCGTAATGTACTACGTCCAAATACCGTGTTATCAGCTTTACCCACCCCTCTTTCCATAACGAACTCGATAATGGGTAACGCGATAACTCATAACGGGTAACCTTATTAAATATTGAAATCCTTATTAATTAAGCTTTCATTTCAGATATTAAGCATCAAAATATCTTAATCTGACC